AGGTACGTTTCAGCACCACACCACCAGGCTCTTCGTTGGCCACTCCCTGGTGGTGGGTGGAGTGGCCCCCTGCCGTAAAGCAAAAGTGAAAGCAAATCCTGACGGATCCCTCTGACTCCAAGGGGTACACACACACACAGGCGCAGATCGGAGTTCCCCGGTCAGCGTTGCGTTGTTTTGAGAATTGCCAGTTAATTCGTACATGCATCTTGAATAGTAGTAACAGGTGCCACGCTAGTAGTAACAAGTGCCTTACTAGTAGTAACAAGTGCGTTAATGGCACCTTCCCTGACCTATAGAAATTTGATTTGTGCCTTCGCATTCGTTGAAACTCCTTGTCGAATATCGATGCTTACTGGTAAAGCAGTCTGGGTATGTCTTGTATACATGCACTTGATGAATTCCCGGTTAGAAGGTGGTCGGGCGGTGCTCAGCGGATGTACCACTATCCCCCTGTTCGCTACGTTCGGGGCTCCTGGCATCGCTACTAGGAGCAAGGACGCTACTAGGGGCTCCTGGCCATACTACTAGTATCTACTAGTAACAAGAAACAATTAGAAACAATAAGCTAAGAATTAGAATTTAATTAGAAGATTCCGGACTTGTAAATCAGTCGCGCCTCCTCATCCAATAAAAAGAGCGGGGATCCACACGTAGTTGTCGACATGAGCTGACTTGGTTTGAATCTGTATTATGGAGCGATTTCAAAGTAAGGCGGTAGTAGCAAGTGCATCGCTACTAGTAACAAGGGCATTACTAGCATGGTGCCTTATTACTAGCAGCTTGTTACTACAAGTAAGGCACCTTGCTACTAGTAGCTTCTTCCTACTAGTAGCAATGCCCTTGTTACTAGTAGCAATGCACTTGTTACTAACGTTGAGCAGCCACAGCTTCACGGCTGGTTGACATGGTTGACATTGTTTGCCAAGCATGGCAGTGGCCAACCTTTGTAGCGGTCAGTGGGAGAGTTTGGGCGCAGACTTAGCTGCATATGGGAATCTTAAGCACCATGTGTCCAATTTGCAGCAGGCTCCATACGAGTTAAAAATTTAGGTACCTGACTCACATCTTAGGCTAGTGTATGTGGTTTGGCGCTGAATCTTTTGCTACACAGTCTGTACTTCTTGCAATGTGTAGTTGAGGTTCTGTAGTCCCAATACAAGACATCGTTGAATCGTTGAAGGCCCGACGGCCCAACAGTGCACGCAGCATCCCTACACGGATGTCCACAAACTGCCCTTTTATGCCCCCTTTTCAGCAGAATCGCAATGGCTTCCAAACCTAGAAGCGATGGCCTCCAACCTACTAGCGATGGATAGCGATGGTATTCATCCTAGTAGCTATTTTTACTTTAATAGCGATGGCCTCCTCCCTTTTCAGCAGAGTCGTACTCCTTCTTGGTTTTTCAAGGTGCTTTCGAGGGTGGAGACTTTGCTGACTTCACGGCAGCAACTCCAGCTCAACCCGCAGACGGCTTTGGAGACTTTGTAGGTGTGATTCGGTGGTCAAGTTCGTTTCATCCAAAAGTGTTCGGAATCCGTTTTTAAGCATCTATTCAACAAAGTCAAGCAATAATTATTGTCTTTGCTTTTTGGAGGCATTCTGTCATGGCCAATACCGAGGGCCGTTCACTTGCTTGCCGCCTTTTGTGTCCATAAAAGTTTCATCTACGGGGAAACTATTACCACAGAGGCTTTGATATTGCATCTGACTGGCAAAACAAAAGCCAATTCAGGTACAAGCGATGGCCTCCAACCTACCAGGAACGGCCTCCAACCTATCTGGCTGCTAAAACTAAAGCCGATTCAGGCATACAAATCAGAAGACCTTAAATTATCCTGCATGGAGCTGGCACCCGCTAGCCTGAGTTTACTCTTCAGACCATGCCAGGTCAATGTCGGCTCTAAATATTTCAACAGAAACTTTTCAAACATCCCTGGGTCCCTTGTTCATGCACCATGAAAACCAGAGTTGCACTGTGGCATCGCTTGACCGCTCACCAAAATAGAAGCTTTGCCTTGCAAAAACAACAGACGACTGCAGAAACATAAAGGATTCTAGAGCAAACATGCTACCCTCCCATAACCTAGCTTTGTCCGTGTTTGCAAATGCTCGCAGTTCGTGCGCCTTAGTCTCACAATGCCTCGGCACCTTCAGTGCGATTTTTCCATAGAACCGGCACTTTATGACACGTTTATTCGAATTGATCCACCTGTTTGGGGTGGGGACGGTCCTGCTGTCCTGCTTGTTTCAGGAACATCTGCACCTGCTGCACCAGCTGCGCCTGCCGCACCGGTGCCTCACATGATGAGTTCAGAAGTATTAGTCCGAATGACATGACAGCACGACACAGCAGCGGCATAGCAAAAAGACAATATTTTGGACGCTTTTCTGCTCAGGCTGTTGACATGTTCCAGAGCTCGCCAAATGTAATGCCTGACCTTTTCGCTCAGGCACAACAGTAGTACTGCAATGAGAGTACAGGAGTTGGACATTCAGTACATTGCTCGTGAAATGGCATGCATCAGGCTGGCGGCTGTGGAGGTGGTTGTGGTTGCGGCTGCGGAGGTTGTGGATGCTCAGGCTGTGGTGGCTGTGGTGGCTGCCCTGGATGCGGATGTGGTGGATGCGGCGGCTGCCCCTGTGGCAGCGGCTGCGCGTGCGGATGTGGAGGCTGCCCTGGATGTGGCACGGCCTGTGGCGGATGCTGTGGCGGATGCCCTGGCGGATGCCCTGGCGGATGCCCTGGGTGTGCTTCTGGTGGCCCTGGCGGATGTGGTGGTTGTGGCGGATGCTGTGGCCAGCCTTGCGCTGGTTGTGGAGGATGCCACAGCGGATGCGGAGGCGGTCCCGCATGTGCTGGTTCGACTCAACCTAGCCACTACTATGCATTGGAAGAGTTCCCAAGACAAACCAAACCTGCCTGCTCCAATTGAATTTACTGGCTGAGGCCCGCCAGCTGGACAAGTAGACACAAGTGGGTGCGCCCTCCGAACGAGTGTCACGTTTTGAAACTGCATAAGAAGTCCACTCAACGTAGTAGCGATGGTCTCCAACCTAAGAGAAACAAAGGTCAAAGAACTTGTTGCAACAATTGGCAATTCCATGTAAGCTACATGGCACTGTAAACGACTCGGAAGTTGCAGGTCCTTTCTGGATGGCATTTCCAGCAAGCTTTTGGCCATTGACTCAGCGCTGTGAAGCAAAAGGAATTCAAACAATCTCCAATACCAGACACACTACTCCTAACAACGCTTTTCACGAAGAAAGAACGGCAGGCAAAAGATAGGTATGACATGGCATGACAGGTGTCTTTTGGAAAAAAAAGCAAACAACAAGGAGAAGAAAAGTGCTTTCAATGGGCCTTAGGCGGCCTTTGCTCCAGAATGCTACTAGTAAGCCATGCCTTGCATTCACGTTACATAGAACTTCCAATGCCAAAGACCTTGTAACAGTAGTAAAGAGGTATATTAACCTTTATACAAAAGGTGTGGAGTGCCAAACACACCTTATTACCGCAACAACAACGACGACGACGGCACTACGGCACTACGACACTACGACTTGCCAGAAGGCATGGAATGCCTACAATTAGAACCGAATCCTGCAGTACTGTGAGGACCTCAATCTTGGTTCTGGCACATCCCAAGCATCCCCATCTGGGTCCAGCACCGCAAAACCAATGGGAGGAGCAAAATGGCTTGTTGAGTGCTCCAGAATTCATTGGTGCCAGAACTAGTTTGACAGTTGCTTACCATGTTCTGCAGGAGCTTCGATGGGCGGTGCCATGGGAACTGGACCCGCCATGGGCAGTGCCATGGGCATGGCATCAATGGGAAGTTGTGGCGGTGGCTGTGGAGGCTGCGGCGGCTGCGGCGGCTGTGGAGGCTGCGGCTGTGGTGGGTGTGGCGGTTGCCCAGGCTGCGGTGGCTGTGGCGGCTGTGGCTGCGGCGGCTGTGGCTGTGGTGGCTGTGGCTGTGGTGGCTGTGGTGGGTGTGGTGGGTGTGGAGGATGTAGTGGGTGTGGTGGGTGTGGATGCAGCGGCTGTGGACAATGCGGTGGTGGTGCCTGTGGTGGATGTGGAGGGTGTGGTGGGTGTCCAGGCTGTGGTATGCAGATGGGAATGGGAGGGATGGGTCAGCCGGGCATGCCCCAGATGGGGATGGGTCCAATGGGCCAGATGGGTCAAATGGGGATGGGAAACATGGGCATGAAGTGAGACACTTCACCTTGCATCCTGGTTTGCATTGAGACTTTAGTATGCAAGGTCAAGGAACTTTACAAACTTCTGATTCCAATTTCCATTTGGTGTAATCAGTGCACAGTGCTTTCAGCTGCATTTGCAAGTTGATTCAAACTTGCCGTATTTAACACCCTTTGATCCTGCAGCTGTTTTTGGAGAATTATTATCGATTCAAGAGATCATGGTTTGCTTTCTCGCCAACTTTCACCTAGAAGCAATGCGCAGTCCTCTTAGGTCCTCATCCAATACTTCGAGTGGCCAGTGAGAGCAAATCGTCTCCGGACTGTCTTCAAATGATGTGTTCTCCAGATCCTGGTCCTCATGGTCCGATTATCCATGAAACAAAGGCATTCTTTGTTTCTTCGCCGTCCCCCATTCAAAGCTGGCATTGGACCTTCTGGCGATTGCACAAATTGCGCAAATATTGGCGATTTGGGAAGAATCACCACTTTCGCCCCCTAGTGTTCAGCCGCAGAAAGATCTGAACTAAACTGACGTGTCAATGAAAGACCGTTGCAGCAATTTGACCAATGATGTGCTGTTTTTTCGTTGCCGGAATTGAGATGTTGTTGGAACTGTCCTTCGAGATTCCTTCAAACTTGGAACTTCAGCGATTTGGTATCAGAGCTTTGACTTTTGCATTCGAGATTTTTGCAAGGACTAGGACTAGGATTTTGGATTCGGGATTTGTTTTTCAGATTCGAGTGCTGAGCTCAGAACGCAGGACATGGCATGCGGCATGCGGCACACTCATTTGATCTTACTCCAGTTTCGGTTCAAACACTGTAGCCTTCACCATGGTTGCAGAGAAGGAACCCAACGAGTCTCGACCTCGAAGACGAATTCGTCAATCTTGGTCGGTGGCTGCAGCAACATACGTTGGTTGCTGCTTCACTGACATGGAACCTGACAGGGATCTCCGTCGGCGTAGGGACGTGGTGCACGTCGCGAGAGATGGACCTCTATCGACACTTGCCAATTCAGGGCCGTTTAGGGCAGCAAGTGCAAGCCCTAGTGGCCTCAATTCGTCTCCTACACGGACACGAAGCTTTGCATTTGGCCTGTCGTGGCTTATACCCAGCTTTGCACGACGGACGGCCAAACATGCTGAGCCCGTCGTAGCCTCAAGACTGGATGTATGCATGAGAGATGCGAAAATAATCATTCAATCATTACCAGGCAGCATTGGAGAGCTGTCCACCACCTGTTCTTTACAATCAGCCGAGGGCCCATAGCGTCCTTCGCTTGCTTTCTGGAGGATATGTCCTTCTTTGTAATACTAATAGCGTCCTTGCTACTAGTAGCGATGCCTTTTGTCACTAGTAGCTTCTTGTTACTAGTAATGCCAGGAGCTACTAATAGCGTCCTTGCTACTAGTATTTTCCATTGTCTTGTCAACACTTTGCCTTTCAAGGCGTTGGGTTCAACTGGCATTCCTAGCTTTGCTCGCGTTGCTGAGCGACTTGGTGTTCGGAGCTTGGTGTCCAACGAAACTGGCTGTGACACGGTTTTTGACGCTACGTTCGGGTCTCCTGGCCCTACTACTAGGAGCAAGGACGCTACCAGCAACGAAGGGCATCAATTGTGCACCTTGATGGTTCAATTGGCAAAGCCAGGCCTTTTGTTGCCTAAGAGCATGAATAGTGCGAGTGCTTCGTCAAGGAAGCGTGAGCTTTCCTCCGTCCTAGGCAGCAGCTACCTTTTGTTAGTTACTAGCTTGCCAGCCACATAAGTCTACTCGCGAACCACCTCCCCCTAAAAACGGTTCCATTGGGGGTTTCCAAGGTGCTTCAGCGTGGCTGCGACGCCTTGAGCTAAATGCACCAACATGACAATGTGCTCAAATGTCAAAGCGTTCAACGCACGAGGCCGGCAACGTGGACCAAGGTCTTCGGGCAGGACGGTGAAGCACAGAATTCGTGTTATTTGTCCCGCTTGCTACGTTCGTAGCGTTCTTTCTACTAGTAGCGATGCACCTCGTTACTAGTAGCGATGCGCTACATATAATTGCTGCATTGATCTTGAGCCTTGCAGGACCCAGCGTCCCTCATAGATATATTTCTTTTCACAAATGTGTTTGCATGCTTCCTTGAGCCTTTTGCGCCTCGGATCTATTCAGGTCCCGCGAAGGAAACAGATGAAAAACAAAAGTTGAAAAGAGACGAGACATCTCTGAAGAAAGCAAGCAAAGAAACAAAGAACTGGACAAGTAACAAGTATTCTCTTTTATTGGTGACAATCCGAATCAGCTTAGGTCATTCGCAATTTTGGTCTCCGGACTCCAATTGTCGGTGCAGCTGTGCCACTCGCTCAGTTTGGACCTTGTAAAATGTAGAAACAGAACCCTTTTTCATTATGTTCCTTTCTTTTTTTCTTTTTAATATGCAATTTCTCGTGTTATTTGTTCATGTTATTCCTTTCCTTTCTTCATTATGTTCCTGTGTTCTCTTTTTAGCAATTTTTTCGAGCCCCCTTTTCTTCGCCCAAGAAGCTGAACTGTTGTGGCACCTTGCAATCCTGGGCGGAGTTGGGGTGCGGAAGTGCCCAAGACAGGTCTGCACGGAGCACGCCACCGTGCCAGACAATAAGAATACCCTCTTTGTTCACCAGCTAAGCCTTCATATGTTGGTTTTGGCGAGAACCTAGGACGATCATGAGGTGGAGGCCATCGCTACTAGGTTAGAGGCCATCGCTTTCATTTGCCCTTTGCCTGTTGGAGGTGACGTTGAGGAGGTCACTCTAGGAAGTATGAGTGCCTTTCGCCAAGTCGTGACTGTGCGCAAAATCCAGGCAGTGCCAGAATCCAACATGGCATGAAAAATGAAGTCAACTGAAACCAAATTACAGCTGCAACTCCTCCACTGCTTGCACGGGAGTTGTCCACAGGCCGAACAAGTTGCTGTTTCAAAGAAACTCGCCCAAGCTGAAGCGTGTGGGAGCACAAGACAGAGCATGGACACTCACGGAAGGTGTACCAAACCGGATTTGCCTACTAGCGATGCCCTTGCTCCTAGTAGCGATGCCCTTTGTTCCTAGTAGCTTCTTGATCTAAAAGCCTCTATAGACTTGGCGATGCCGAACAGATGTGCAACGCGGTACACAGATGTCATAGTGGCGCCCGTTGCTGTGGTGCCTCTGGAAACTCGGACCAGGTTGAGGTCTTAAGGCCAGGCTCAAATTCAAGTGAGTTCTCCTTGAGATTGCAGAGATTGCACCTAGTCTCAACCTGATCTTGCCTGGGATGTGTCCTGGCAACCGCAGAGCAGTGGGAGAGCAGAGCACTTTCTGAAGTTCAAGGCTTATCCTTTGGCCGTGCTCGAGGGAAGTGCTGATATGGCCCCACTTTTTCCCTGAAGTGCTGACGTCCCTTTCGTCCATAGCCTTTCAGCTTTCGCCCGCTTGTGAATACAAACAAGGTCCACCTCTATGTGGGTTGGATGCCATCGCTAGTAGGGTGAGGCCATTGCTTTTAGGTTGGAGGCCATCGCTTTTAGGTTGGATGCCATCGTTGGGTGGATGTGGATGAAACGGAAATTAGGTGGACAAGTCCCGCAAACGTCCAGCAACCTGCCTGGATGGCCTAGGCTTGGATCGTTGTCTAAACTCTAAACAAACAAAAAATTAGCTTTACAGGTTTTCAACACACTAGTTTTAGTAGCTTCTTCCTTCACGCTTTGCTGAACTTCTCGTTTGCAGGGGAGGTTTAGAGTGGATCGTTGCAAGTGATCGAATTGATTTATCACTACAAAAGGCTCTCTCACCCTCCCTAAGGACACATGCATCGCAAGCATCATTTGAGTGATTGGAACCAGCTTAACGAAGCATGTCTTGTTGGTTCCTAGTAGCGTCCGATCGCTCCTAGTAGCGATGCCCGTTGCTCCTAGTAGCTTCTTGTTCCTAGTAGTAAGGCCAGGAGCCCCTAGTAGCTTCTTGTTACTACTAGTAAGGCACTTGTTACTAGAAGCGATGCACTTGCTCCTAGCGTCCTTGCTCCTAGTGATTGGAACCTTAAAGAAGCATGTCAACCCAAGTCTTGGTGGTGACAGAGTCGAAGCGTCAGAGAGTACACCATCGCCTGCACCTTTTGTGAAATGAGCAAAGTATGTCGCTTGACTATTTGACCCGGAATCTACCCGTTTTCTTCAAAGTGCTTCAATCATTTTGGTCTTTTTTAAATCCAATGCTAGTAAGCATGTCCTACCAAAGAACACATTTTGTCACTCAGCTTTAAATTGTTCCACTGTAGACCTTACTTTTTCCAACAGGGAGGAAACTTGTAGAACAACAGCGCTACAAGAGAGATCTTTGTAAAGGACAAACCATGCAACCCGTAGATGTGCATTTTCCCCATTTCCTATTTTCTACTCAAACTCCTTAGATCTTGGTCCTTCCACACCAAACTGCATGTGAAACTGGAAGTCTTCCACGCCCAAACTCCGCGTTTTCCACACTTACGCCACTAGAGGCTCATGGCTTTGGGCTGCTGGTTACGTTCTGGTGTGCCATTTATGGGTGAGGAGCTTCCAGGAGCACTGGAGAAAATGAGTGGAAAGAACGCTACTAGGGGCTCCTGGCGTCGCTACTAGGAGCAAGGACGCTACTAGGGGCTCCTGGCCTTACTACTAGTAACAAGAAGCTACTAGTAGCAAGGACGCTATTAGGTGGCAGGTTCCTATGGCGAAGGAGTAGCAGGGGTATCAAGGGCCACCCTGCATTCTAGAGGTTTTTCTTTATTTTCGGCAAGGACGTGAAGTCCAAAGTCCAACTGAACTTGAAGACTTCTGTTGCAAGAAGATGCTTCTTTGCCTTTTGTGAGGATACAGCACAGTCGTCATAGGCACCATGCTGGTTGCAGTGGAGGACTTAGTAGAGCCAAGTGGAACGACATTCAAAGCAGCTTGAGACTGAAAGCAACTAAAAATTAGACACACAAATCGAGGAACAAAAGAAGGTAAGGGCCTCTTTGATAAGGCCTCCCTCAACAATAAGGGGCCCTTAACTTCCTTTTCTTTCTCTCTGGCTGGAAAGGGTTGAAGAATGTCGCGGGCAGCATTGTAGCTGCTATACAGTATACACGTGCAGTGGGATTGTGTTTGGTCTTTCAAGGAGGCTATATTGTGAGACTGCAAAGACTGGACTAGAGTACAGTAACATTGTTCGGATGCATTCGGCAGAGAAAACGTATTATCTTAACGTGCTTTTGCGCATCGCTAGTAGGTTGGAGGCCATCTCTTTTTCTACTGTCGATCTGCGCGTCGATAGGAACAAGAAGCTACTAGGGGCTCCTGGCCTTACTACTAGGAGCAAGGACGCTACTAGGGGCTCCTGGCATTGCTACTAGGAGCAAGGACGCTACTAGGGGCTCCTGGCCTTACTACTAGGAGCAAGGACGCTACTAGGGGCTCCTGGCCTTACTACTAGGAGCAAGGACGCTACTAGGGGCTCCTGGCATCGCTACTAGGAGCATTCTTACTACTAGTAACAAGAAGCTACTAGTTGTCGTCCTGGAAGTTCTGTGGTGCAGGTGGCGCAGCCTTTCTTCCAGTGCACGCCTCCGCTGCTTTCAGCCACATGGTTTGCTCCCGATGCGACTCGGTTGTGGACACCTCTACCAAGACTTCTAAAGGAAGCAACTTGAATCGGGTCAATAGCTTTCTTTCAGTGAAGAGAAAATTGAGAAGTAAGTGCATGAACTCAAGCTATCCTGTTGAGGAACGGGCCCTGTCCACAGCCGTGGCTATCAATTTCAACCAGGCCAACAGCGCGGCCGGAATCCACCTGGTGAGGGATATGTTCGCGAACCAAATTTGCAGAGATAATTCTAATTGATTCTCAATTGCAGGACAGTTTAGCAATTACTGGTCCATGATTGCATACCAGACAGTAAGCAGCCTCGCCAAGAGAATCGTCCCAAAATCGACCAGACCATCAAGCACCTCTATCTCGTTTTCAAGTCCTTCGTTCACTTCGGATGGTGCGAGACCGGACCAAAGAACGACACCTCAAGCATCACCAAATCAAGCTGTAAGAACACGGGTGCCTAGCCAAGTCACACCGAGGGTTAGAAAAGAGATGAAAAACAAAGGTGAAAAAGGGCTTCCTGAAAGGGACCTTAAAATGGGGAGGCCATCGCTATTGGGTTGGAGGCCATTGCTGGGTTGGAAACAGTTTTCTTTCTGTTTCAATCTCCAGTGTGCAGTTTCCTTCATCATTCCCCGCCAGTTTGGGCTCTTGATTCTAGGGCCAGATCTCGCCTTCCATCCGCTTCCTTCCTCAAGCATCCTTACAGAATACGCCAGTATCAAAAGCAGCTTACAGACTTCACTTTCTGTGCCCAATATGAAGCGTCATACTACCCACCATGCACCATGCCGCACTGCATACCAAGTGTCATACGAAGCGCAACAAATACTCTACACCGGCTGAAAAGTAACTCTCACAGAGTGACACATGCTCGTGCGTGTGGACCAAAATGTATTTAAGATGTAAATAAGACAATAAGACATAATAACACAATAGAGTATTTTTTGCTATAATGTATTTACACTAGCGATCCTGAAATCTGAGACCAAGTCTCAAAACCCATAACAACACTGCTTAAAGAGAGACGACAATGCAGCGGGAAGTTTTGGCCGTGTTGTTCCTTTTCGATGAATTTGTTAGTATTTTGGCTGTAGTTTTGCTGGACAACCAGCTGAGGGAGATGTGTTTCTCATCATGTGTTATGTGTTTTGATTTTGTTTGCCCTGCCGGCCTTTAAGGGATGAAGATGGAGTGTGCTGAGAGAGAGAGAGACTCCTCCAAAACTGCTCGCCGATTTGCCAGATGAACGAGTTTTGATCGTTTGATCCTGTGCTAACCTTTTCAGGTGGGAATTGCTACTGCCTTCCTGGCTGGTGGTGCTTTTGGTGGCTCTGAAGCTGGGCTGAAGGCGATGGTGCTACAAAGTGTTGGTGAGCAAAGTCATAAAACAAACGTGAAAACGGACTTCTTTAAAGGGACCTTAAACGGGCTACTAGCGATGGCCTCCAACCTACTAGCCATGGCCTCCAACCCAATAGTGATGGCCTCTACCCTACTAGCGATGGCGTCCAACCTAATAGCGATGGCCTCCACCCTACTAGCTGTGGTTTAACATGCTATCCATGCCAGGACTATTTTGTAATCATTACCATTGCCTCAACGGTGGTCGCTGCGGCGTCTTTGCTTGAAGCCAAGTCATTGAGACACAGCCTTGACACACCGGCATGGAGCACTGCATGCACTGCATGATGCTTCACGCTGACTTCACAGTTGCAAAACCAAATTTGTTTGGCCAAGTGAGAGGAGGCAGGAGATTAACAAGGCACTGTCATCATTGAATCAGTCGTGCAACATTATGTCACAGTGGAAGATGCTGAGGCTCTTTTTTCAGGAAAAGCCACCCACTCCACCGTCAGCATCTTAGATTTAAGCAGGAGGCCATCGCTAGTAGGTTGGAGGCCATTGCAATTGGGTTGGAGGCCATCGCTAGTAAGTTTGAGATGCGCGAGTGGGCTGGTGCCACAAGGTCTGCCTCGGAGTTAGAAAAGCTTCTGGCGGAAAAGCAAAGTGGTGCATTGAAGGAAGGGCAAAGCTATGCTGGGGACGAGGCCAAAGCAATTGTTCTCGGACATACCAGTTTGTCCGTTTGGCTTCGTTTAGGACAGCCAAAATAAGACCGTGCCATCAGAGACGTTCCTAGATGAGGCCACTGAGCATTTGTGAAAATGCTTAGTCCCAGTTTTACATGTACAGCTACTAGTAACAAGGGCGCTATTAGGGGCTCCTGGCCGTACTACTAGGAGCAAGAAGCTACTGGGGGCTCCTGGCATCGCTACTAGGAGCAAGGACGCTACTAGGAGCGAATAGAAACACACGAGATTGTTCTGAGGCCAGACGGCTACTTGCCACGCCCGGCTTTGTGCCACCATTGCTGGCCTTCGTGACTTCTATCGCTGTCACCAACGTGGTGGGTGCCTTCATGGACTTGGTCATGCTGCCATGTTGTCAGTTGAACATGTTTGAGCCACTTCCATGAAAGAACCCTTTCAATGTGTTGGAGGCCATCACTCTTAGGGGAGGCCATCGCTATGAGGTTGGAGGCCATCGCTTCTAGGTTTGAGGCCATTCCTATTAGGTTCCTTTTGCTATTATGTCGTCGTTAATGCACTTTCTGTTCTGTGATGAACAGGTATCATGCGTGACTCTTCCCTCTGAACTGTTTGCAGAAAGCAAGACTTCATGGGAACTCTTTGCATTTCTTGTGCAGGTTAGACAGAACTGCTGAAGTAAACACAATCGATGCAAGCACATTCATGCTTCAGGAGGAAGACAGTTTCATAACAGTCTCCAGAATCTACTGAAAAGCTTCCTTTCCGACAAGTCTGGCGGAGGGGTGGAAACTCCTCTGCCGGAATTCCACTGTGATCTCCTGTATGACTCAAATACAGTGCCAAGCAATTTAGATAGGACGCACGTTCAACATCATCCGAAACATAGGTTGAATCATACCCCCGAAACATACCCTCGAACTGGCTAAAAATGAGATGTTGCTTGTGGACTTGCGAAACATACCTCCGAAACATACCTCGCAACATACCCCGAAACTTACCTGAAACATACCTTCCGGTTAAACACGCATTGCCGCCCGCCTTATTTACAGATTGACCCGTATAATTCTAAGGGGAAAGGTTTGAAGGTCATGTCTTTACAGGCTGGTTACCAACTTTTGTCCTGTCTGAGTATGTGTGAAAGGGTTAATCTCATCTCCGTTGGAATCTTGGGATCTTAGGTTGGAGGCCACTATTAGGGTAATTACTAGTTGGCTGTTAGCCCACTTTTTGAGGGAAATGCTGAGCGAACGCCATTTCTTAGAATTGTCCACCACCACGGCTAAAAGAGTGATTACTTAGTCTTGGAGGGGTGATTTTAGAAGTTGGGGCCCAACTCAAGGAGTAGAGAAGCCCTGCGAGGCGCTCAACGCTTATGGTAGTGTGATTCAGGAAAGTCAGCTTGCAACTGAGACCTTTCCAGGTGCAACTGGCCCTTGAGCTTTTCATGATTTATGAGGGTCCACAGCTGCGGCCACTACAGCCCACAGCCGCAGCACTTTTTTT